TTCAGGGGTATTTTGGTCAATTTTGTTTCACAAAATTTTTTTTTTTTATTTTTATTAGGTGCGCCTCACTAAGATGTACATCCGTTCCAAATTTCAAATTATTCCAATTTGTTGAAGCAAAATGAAAAATAAAATACTACTAGACAATTGTGACTGTGCGAATATATATAGGAAGATACTACAAAACGTCTTTAGGCGAAAATGAACAGTGATTTCGCCTGCCCTCATCACCGTCAAAAGTTCATCACATGGTCACAATTGTCTAGTAATGTTTAATTTTTCATTTTTTTTCTACAAATCGGAATGATCGGAAATTTGGAGCGTGTGTTCATAAAAAATAGATGAATCTACGAAAAATATCAAAAAAATATTTTACTTGAAATAAATTGACTACAATACCCCCGAAATGTTTCATGGGTATTTTCATCAATTTTGTTTCACGATCTATTATTTTTTATATTTTTATTTAAATGTACACACGCTCTAAATTTTAGATCATTCCAATTTGTAGAAAAACAATGAAAAATAAAATACTACCGGACAATCTTGATCGTGCGATGAACTTTGGACGGTGATGAGGGTAGGCGAAATCACTATTTTTGCCTATAGGGGTTGGGAAGACTTTTCCATATATATACATATATATATATATCATTACAAATATAAAAAAATAATATTTATATATAAAACTCACTAAAATTGTGAAGTAGAGTAAAAAATTTGTAATTATTTTAATAGTTTATAATTTATGTTTGTTACTTTTTACTTCAAATAGAATATCCGCATAATAAGATAATGTACAATTTAATTCAAAGCAAGTTCTTATAAAATTAAAAAAAAAAAAATCGTACCTTGAGAAAAACAAGGTTTCTCTTGCCTTCAAACATTAATGTGTTACTCAAACTTCATAAAATGGAAAGAACACCTCAAAACATACAAACATAGGTAATACAAAAAGTAAACTCATATTCTCTCTCTCTCTTTCAAATTTAGGAATGTGTCCTACAATCTTTATAAAATTAGGATCCTTTCATATTTTCACAATATGTGTCCACCTTATGACTCTAGCTTAATAATATAGACTGTTTATATATATATATATATATATATATTACCATTGCAAACATAAAATAATATTTATAGTAAAAAACTCACTTAAATTATGAAGTAAAGTAAAAAATTGTAAGTATTTTAATTGCTTATAATTTTTTTGTTTTTTTTACTACAAATAGAACATCCACAAAATAAGATAATGTATAATTTAATTCACAGCAGGTGCTTTTGAAATTTTAGAAAAAATAATTACATACTTTGAGGAAAACAATATTTCTCTTACCTTTAAAGACCAACCTGTTCCTCAATCTTCATAAAATGAGAAGAACACCCGAAAAAATCGAAACATAGGTAATATATATATATGAGGAATGATATGATGCAAGGGTTGTATGTTAATATAATGATACGATATGTTGTCATATTTTTGGCCATTGGATTCCGTTGAATCCAACGGGTGAAATTAGAATCCCAAATCTGATTTGAAATTAAAACCCCAAATCTGATTTGTCCACCTCTATCTCCCACTTCCTAAGCGATAAACCAGATGAGTTGCAGACACTGTCGAGAGAGACATTTTTTCTAG